TCCAGATTTTCCTATGAAAATACAAAAAATTCAGGTTTTCCTACGAAAATATATAAAATTTGCGAAAAATAGGGAAATGCAGGTTTTCCTCTAAAAATAAAAAGAAAATGAAATATTTCCTAGTAAAATACAGAACTAAGCCCCAAACCCTGAAAAAAAAAAGAATTCACCAAAAAAGAAAAAATAATTCCCAAAAAAATGCACCTCCTTGAGGTTTAGGGTTTAGGGATTTAGGGTTTAGGGGTTTAGGGATCCTGGCTGCAGGATACTTGCAGTTGTAGGTGATTTGTTTAGGCACCATATGGGCACTCGAACCCATATGAGGCCTTAGCGTAATTCTTATAAAGTCCCCGCTCCAAATTAAAAAAATAGGCCCAAAGCACCCATAAAAATCCTAAAGCCCAACATGCCAAATACGGAAGCCCTAACCCGCTGTAGATCCCTTGGAGAACTCTTCTAGAACCTTTAATCAACACCCCCCATTACCTATATATTCCTCAGCATGCCTTCCGGAGGCGGAGGTGTGCGTAAACCTGGCAGCTTTAGGCTTCTCCTAAACCCTATACCCTAAACCCTAAACCCTATAGGGTTCAGAGTTTAGGGCTGACGAGTGTGCTGCTTTTTTCAGGGTTCATAAGAACGGAATTATGGCGGATCGGAGTTTCAGGTTGTGGCGTTGACAACTTCGGGTGTTGTTGGCCTTGGGTTTTTGGCCAGGCATTTTTAGGGGGCTTGGGTTTAGGGTTTAGGGTTTAGGCTTTAGGCTTTAGGGTTTAGGGTTTAGGGTTTAGGGTTTAGGGCTTGGGGTCTTCTCGCTTAACGTTTCCTGTCTTAGCGCCATCCTGGATGAAGAGCGGGGCTGAGGTCAAGGCTTTCGGATCGCTGCCTTTACGCTGTCGAGCTGCAGAGAGTACCAAAAGAACCCAAAACCTACTTTTTTGTAGGGTCCCTATAAATCTCATATGAGCGTTTATAATAAGAACCTACAAAAAAGTGGGTTTTGGGTTCTTAAGGTAGACTTTACAGTAGCCCTGAACCTTAATTCAACTCTGAGCCGTAAACCGTGGAACGTGCTCCGAACTAAACCCTAAACCCTAAAACCCTAATCCCAAAACCCCAAACCCTAAACCCTAAATCCTAAATCCCAAATCCTAAACTTCCAAACTCTCTCAAGTCAAGCTGCCCTCTTCTGGTTCCCTGTTGGGGCTATATTAAACATGATCACTCTTCATCCTTATTGCAGTAGGGTTTAGGGTTTAGAGTTTAGGGATTTTTTTTATCAAAACCCTAAACCCTAAACCCTGAACCCTAATGTCTGACAAGGACCCAGTCTTGAAGCTCAGGCCCTGAAGCTCTGCCGCGAACCTGCAAGCCCAAACCGAAAAGCCTAAACCCCTAAACCCT